TCTCCTATCCCCTCACCCTCTGACAGGCCCTGGTTTGTAATGTTCCCTTTTCTGTGTCCATGTGTTCTCATTGTTCAACTCCCACTAATGAGTGAGAACATGCTGTGTTTGATTTTCTGTTCTTGTGTTAGTTTGCTGAGAATAACGCTTTCTAGCTTCATTCATGTCCCTGCAAAGGACACAAACTCATCCTTTTTTATGGCTGCATAGTATTCCATGGTATATATATGCCACATTTTCTTAACCAGTCTGTCATTGATCGGCATTTGGGTTGGTTCCAAGTCTTTGCTATCATGGATAATGCTGCAATAAACATACATATGCATGTGTCTTTATAGTAGAATGACTTATATTCCTTTGGGTTTATACCCGGTAATGGGATTGCTGGGTCAAATGGTATTTCTGGGTTTAGATCCTTGAGGAATTGCCACACTGTCTTCCACAATAGTTGAACTAATTTACACATCTATAAACAGTGTAAAAGCATTTCTATTTCTCCACATCCTCTTCAGCATCTCTTGTTTCTTGACTTTTAAATGATTGCCATTCTAATCATCAGAAGGTATCTCATTATGGTTTGATTTGCATTTCTCTAATGACCAGTGATGATGAGCTTTTTTTTCACGTTTGTTGGCCATATAAATGTCTTCTTTTGAGAAGTGTCTGTTCATATCCTTCACGCATTTTTTGATGGGCTTGTTTGTTTTTTTTCTTGTAAGTTTGTTTAAGTTCCTTGTAGATTCTGGATATTAGCCCTATGTCAAATGGATAGATTGCAAACGTTTTCTCCCATTCTGTAGACTGCCTGTTTACTCTGATGATAGTTTCTTTTGCTGTGCAGAAGCGCTTTAGTTTAATTAGATCCCATTTGTCAATTTTGGCTTTTGTTGCCATTGCTTTTGGTGTTTCAGTCATGAAGTCATTACCCATGCCTATGTCCTGAATGGTACTGTACTGCCTAGGTTTTCTTCTACAGTTTTTAGATTTCAGGTCTTATGTTTAAGTCTTTAATACATATTGCACTAATTTTTATATAAGGTTCAAGGAAGGGATCCAGTTTAAGCTTTCTGCATATGGCTAGCCAGCTTTCCCAACACCATATACTAGGTAGGGAATCCTTTCCCCATTGCTTGTTTTTGTCAATCAAGCAGAAGAAAGGATGTCAGAGATTGAAGATCAACTTAATGAAATAAAGCATGAAGACAATATTAGAAAAAAAAAAGAATGAGAGGGATGAACAAAGCCATTTAAGAAATATGGGACTATGTGAAAAGACCAAACCTATGTTTGATTGGTGTACCTGAAAGTGATGAGGTGAATGGAACCAAGATGAAAACGTTCTTCAGGATGTTATGCAGGAGAAGTTCCCCAAAGTAGCAAGACAAGCCAGCATTCAAGTTCAGAAAACACGGAGAACACCACGAAGATACTACTTGAGAAGAGCAACTCTAAAACACACGATCATCAGATTCACCAAGGTTGAAATGAAGGAAAAAAATGTTGAGGGCAGCCAGAGAGAAAGGATAGGTTACCCACAAAGGGAAGTGCATCAGACTAACAGTGGACCTCTCTGAAGAAACCCTCCAAGCCAGAAGAGAGTGGGGGCCAATATTCAACATTATTAAAGAATCTTCAACCCAGAATTTCACATCCAGTGAACTAAGCTTCATAAGTGAAGGAGAAATAAAATCCTTTACTGACAAGCAAATGTGAGAGATTTTGTCACCACCAGGCCTGCCTTAAAAGAGTTCCTGAAGGAAGCACTAAATATGGAAAGACACAACCAGTACCAGCCACTGCAAAACATACCAAATTGTAAAGACCATTGACACTATGAAGAAACTGCATCAACTAACAAGCAAAACAACCAGCCAGCATTGTAATTATAGGATCAAATTCACACATAACAATATTAACCTTAAATGTAAATGGGCTAAATGCCCCAATTAAAAGACACAGACTGGCAAATTGGATAGAGTCAAGACCCATCAGTGTGGTATATTCTGAAGACCCATCTCATGTGCAAAGACGCACATAAGCTCAAAATAAAGGGATGGAGGAATATTTACCAAGCAAATGGAAAGCAGAAAAAAAAAAAGAAAAAAAGCAGGGGTTGCAATCCTAGTCTCTGATAAAACAGACTTTAAACCAACAAAGATCAAAAGAGACAAAGAAGGGCATTATGTAACAGTAAAGGGGCAATGCAACAAGAAGAGTTAACTATCCCAAATATATATGCACCCAACACAGGAGCACCCAGATTCATAATGCAAGTTCTTAAAGAGCTACAAAGAGACTTAGACTCCCACACAGTTTTAGTGGGAGACTTTAACATCCCACTGCCAATATTAGACCGATCAACGAGACAGAAAATCAACAGGGATACTCAGGACTTGAACTCAGTTCTGGACCACGTGGACCTGATAGACATCTGCAGAACTCTCCATTACAAATCAACAGAATATACATTCTTCCCAGCACCACATCATCGGTACTCTAAAATTGACCACATAATTGGAAGTAAGTCACTCCTCAGCAAATGCAAAAGAACGGAAATAATAACAAACAGTCTCTCAGACCACAGTGCAATAAAATTAGAATTCAGGATTAAGAAACTCACTCAAAACCACACAACTACATGGAAACTGAACAACCTGCTCCTGAATGACTGCTGGGTAAATAACAAAATTAAGGCAGAAATAAGTAAGTTCTTTGAAATCAGTGAGAACGAATATACTGTGTACTAGAATCTCTGGGACACAGCTAACGGAGTTGTTTAGAGAGAAATTTATAGCCCTAAATGCCCACAGGAGAAGTGGGAAAGATCTAAAATTGACACCCTAACATCACAATGAAAAGAACTAGAGAAACAAGAGCAAACAAGTTCAAAAGCAGCAGAGGACAAGAAATAACGAAGATCAGAGCAGAAATGAAGGAGATAGAGACACAAAATCCCTTCAAAAAATCAATGAATCAAGGAGCTGGTTATTTGGAAAGATTAACAAAACATATAGACTGCTAGCCAGACTAATGAAGAAAAGAGAGAAGAATCAAATAGAAACAATAAAAAACGATAAAGGGTATATCACCACTGATCTGATAGAAATAAAAACTACCATCAAAGAATACTATAAATACCTCTATGCAAAAAACTAGAAAATCTAGAAGAAATGGATAAATTCCTGGACACACGCATGCTCCCAAGACTAAACCAGGAAGAGGTTAAATCCCTGAATAGACCAATAACAAGTTCTGAAATTGAGGCAATAATTAATAGCTTACCAACAAAAAAAAGTCCAGGACCAGACAGTCACAGCTGAATTCTACCAGAGGCACAAAGAGGAGCTGGTAGCATTCCTTCTAAATTATGCCAAACCATAGAAAAAGAGGGACTCCTCCCTAACTCATTTCATGAGGCCAGCATCATCCTGACACCAAAACCTGGCAGAGACACAGCCAAAAAAAGAAAATTTCAGGCCAGTATTTTTGATGAACATCAATGCGAAAATTCTCAGTAGAATACAGCAAACCAAATCCAGCAGTACATCAAAAAGCTTATCCATAACGATCAAGTCGGCTTCATCCCAGGGATGCAAGGCTGGTTCAACATACACAAATCTATAAACATAATCCATCACATAAACAGAACCAAAGACAAAAACCACATGATTATCTCAATAGATACAGAAAGGCCTTTGATAAAATTCAACAGCACTTCATGCTAAAAACTCTCAATAAACTAGGTATCAATGAAATGTATCTGATAATAATAACAGCTGTTTATGACAAACCCACAGCCAATATCATACCGGATGTGCAAAAGCTGGAAGCATTCCCTTTGAAAATCAGCATAAGACATGTCCTCTCTCACAACTCCTATTCAACATAGTATTGGAATTTCTGCCCAGGGAAATCAGGCAAGAAAAAGAGATAAAGCATATTCAAATAAGAAGAGGGGAAGTCAAATTGTCTCTGTTTGCATGGGATATCATTGTATATTTAGAAAACCCCATCAGCTCAGCCCCAAATCTCCTTAAACTGAGAAGCAACTTCAGCAAAGTCTCAGGATGTAAATCAATGTGCAAGAATCACAGGCATTCCTATACACCAATAACAGACAAACAGAGAGCCAAATCATGGGTCAATGCCCATTCACAATTGCTACAAAGAGAATTAAATACCTAGGAATACAACTTACAAGGGATATGAAAGACCTCTTCAAGGGGAACTACAATGCACTACTCAAGGAAATAAGGGAGGATACAAACAAATGTAAAAACACTCCATGCTCATGGATAGCAAGAATCAATATTGTGAAAATGGCCATACTACCCTAAGTAATTTATAGATTCAGCAGTATCCCCATCAAGCTACCATTTACTTTCTTCATAGATTTAGAAAAAATACTTTAAATTTCATAGCCTGTATAGCCAAGACAACCCTCAGCAAAAATAACAAAGCTGGAGGCATCACACTACCTGACTTCAAACTATACTACAAAGCTACAGTAACCAAAACAGCATGGTACTGGTACCAAAACAGATATATAAACCAATGGAACAGAATAAAAACCTCAGGAATAATGCCACAGATCTACAACCATCTGATCTTTGATTAAATATATTTTTTGATTCCCTATTAGACCCCACAGAATACCAAGTGCATTTAATGTTCAACCTTCATGAAAACTCCCATTAGCAGTTCTGTTAAGCATGTACTAAAGTGATGCTTCCTGAAGTGTAGTCCTAGGCCAGCATCATCAGTGCCACCTGGGAACTCCTTGGAATGCAGCTTGTTAGGCCCTGCCACAGACCTGATGAATCAGAAACTCTGGGGACGGCCTCTGTGTTAACCAGTCCAGCAGGTCATGAGATGTATGCTAAAGTTTGAGAATCACTGCTCTAAAGCATTAGTGGGGGCACAAATAGAATTACCTTTTCACATGAAGAAAGACTGACTTTAAAATTTTATTCTTTTTTTTCTTTACAAAAGGTTTTTACCTCATTTCCAAATCTTCATTCTCCTGTGGTATAAATTTGTACAAGGCAACGTAGGTGTTCATCTGTAATGGGTCTTTGGAAAGAGATCCCTGAAAGCGAAAATAAAAAAAAAAATGAGAAAAGGAAGATGAAAGAAATTGAGAGAGGAAAGAAAGAAATGGGAAATGGCGTAGTTATTTCAATGTAATTTCAGTGTATAGATCTTAAGAGTTAAAATGTCTAACCATTACTAAATATTTTCTTACAACCTTGCATTTAATACTAATTTCTTAACTGGTGTTGGTTTCACTGTAAACAACTTGAAAACAATTACTTGGAACTGTTTGCCAGAAATATTGCAATTTTCCTCAAATAAATTTTCTTTGATAATATACTTGTTCATGAAAAATGATACAAGTTAGACTTCAGAAATTGGAATATTCTCTCTAAAGAAAGAGGGACACATGAATAGTAGTGCATAATTCTTGCTTCCTAAAATTAACTGTTTATCAGTTAGCCAAAAAGTTGGTATCTAGGATATGAAAGGGAAACAGGTATGTTCATCTGGCAATTAGTTCAGATATGTTGAGAAAAAAGCACAGGTTTTGGCATTAGACTGATATGGTTTACATTATGGTACCACCATCTATCAGCTACGAAACCTTGCAATAATGACAATAGAAGCTGCCGTTTAGATAGTTTGTTGTGTGCCAGGCGTTAGGTTACATGCATTAACATACTTGAACTTAACAACAACTCTGTTAGGTAGATTCTATTGTTCTCCCTAATATACGGATGATAAAAAACTCTTGTAAGTGTCCTATAAATATTAGCTATTATTACTAACCAAATAAATGTTAATGCTATAAAACATTTACACTTTATAATAAAGAAGTTAAAATTATATATTATGTCATATATAGTTGCATAATATAACTATATAGTAATATAATAAATGCATGCTATAAATTTATAGAAAACATACACAAAAGCTGAATATAACTATGTATATCATTTTTAGCTATGTTTAACTCTCCTCTTCAAAGCTCAGGTACATTATATAATATTATTCTAGTCTGTCTTAATTTTACATATATAAATGAACATATAAAATATGATACTTATATGCTATAAAATACAGTGATGATATATAATTCTATAATCTTTTATAAAACAGAAACAGAAGGATGTACAGTGCAACGCTTGCTCTTTTACCTTTTATGCACTGTGATATTTATGTTTATTCCATGCTGTGCTACATTGTGCTGTGTTATTCTATTCTCTAAAGATGCTGGCCTGGACCCACTAAACTGATTTCATGACCCACTTGGGTTCTATCTAAGGACACCTGTCTGACTTGTCTCCTGTGACATCCGTAAATACCTGGTGGTTTATGTTCTTTGCTGGATCTCTGAAATCATCAGTGCCATTTTCCGGATATGTAAACACTGAAGGAGACAAGAGAAAGCAGGTGCTTTATGAATCTAGTCACCATTTAAAAAAATGTATGTCTGAAAGATGGCTTTATTTATTCTAAGTACCACAGCTTCGCTTCTACTTTACTGCTGATTGCCTGTTCCTCACCCTCTGACTCCGCTTTCAGGTCGTCTTCCACGTGGCTCTTCTCCCGCCTCCCCATGCGGCATTCTGCCCCACCTTCTCTGTGCTCCCACAACTTTTGCACATGCCTGCTTAGCACTTGCCCCTTTTAATTATTGCCAATAGTGTGCTCATATTTGATCTCATTTGGCAGTGTGCTTCTCAGGAGCATCTGTCTTTGTCTAATGCATCAAACTGCTTGTTAATAGGCTGGTGGGTCAGGTGTCGTCCAATTTAGTTTTATTTGAGCTGCCTCATCTAAGTATGGTTCCTTAATCTATATTCAATATCTTGATTCTAGTTTCTTGAAAATTTCTACATTCTATTTAAGCTTTAAACTTCAAAATATTTCCTTGATTTCTTATTGTCAATGCACTGGGGCTATTATTTGGTTTTTCTTTTAGTTTATTCTTGGCAAGCATAATTTTCTTCCTCTTGTATTTAAGTATCCACTCTGCAGCCTTTGTTAGTGGACAAGCCTTCACAAAATGGGCAGGAAGGCCGGGCATGGTAGCTCACGCTTTTAATCCGAGACTTTGGGAGGCCAAGGCAGGCAGATCACTTGAGGTCAGGAGTTTAAGACTGGCGTGGCCAACTTGGTGAAACCCCATTTCTACTAAAATACAAAAATTAGCTGAGTGTGGTGGCACATGTCTGTAATCCCAGCTACTTGGGAGGCTGAGGCAGGAGACTCGCTTGAGCCTGGTGGGAGGCGGAGGTTGCAGTGAGCTGAGATCGCACCACTGCATTCCAGCTTGGGCAATAGCGTGAGACTCCAACTAAAACAAAAAACAAAAACAAAACCCAAAAAACAAAATGAGCAGGAGTTTTCATCGTCTACATATCCAGCTGTGGGAGGTCCCTGATGGACAATGGGACTTCTGCCTTATCTAGTTTGAACCTAACCTACCTCCATGACTAATGGCACAGCTTTATCATTCTAGTTATGTGTATTTTCCTTAAGCAAAAATGTGGTAAATATTTCCAAGTTTACATAATAAAGCTTTGTTGTCTAAATTACTCTACCAGTTAGATGACTTGAAATTTTAAGATTATACATTGCTGCTTTATTCTTCTCTTTGATTTGGCTTCAGATTATCGAGGAAATGTCAGCAGAGGGAGGGGAACACCACAGAAAGCTCTGAAACCTGTTTCTTTAGAGCGCGGATGGACTTTACCTTTCTTAAAATAGCCTCAACAACAGTGATACAGAAAATGTGTTTCGGAACAAGAGCCTCTGCAAATGTAGTAATGCTTATCAAGTATCTATTCTCCATGGCTTGTAGTTCCAGAGTTTATGGATGCAATTCCATTATCCCTACAAAGCCAATATGCAGTCACTGGTGGAGCTCTGGTTTGTAAGTAACCAGAAAACGAAGCCCTGATTCTGTGAATCTCATTTGCCTCAATATTTGGCCACTGAGCTTGATGTTTAGCAGTCTGAAAAGAGCACAGATTAACAAAACCTTTTTCTGGTACTGTGTGACTGTCTGAAATCCTAGTGTAAACACCTGATTCCCTAAGTATAAAACTGGACACCTGTAAAAGAATATTAAATATTTGAATGGGAATGTAAAGAGAATCTTCCTAGAAAATTCCTGATTTGGACTAAAAGGGCATCTACATAAAGTGCACACACAATGTTCAGTGTGGATTGACTTCACAATTTTGTAACTTCACATTGTTTTAATTTTTGTACTGAATCTCCCTCTGGCCCACTGGCTCAAATGTTTACCATCTTTATAAACTTTGCGCAAAAATATTTGAAGTAACCTCAAATATGTTTTCAGATGTATGGTTGCAAGCAGAAATGGAAGGGTGCAAAAATAATTTTTAAAACCTATTCCAACCATTTCTAAAACTTTGATTTAAAGGAAGGGGAGAAGAGGAAGGTAACTAACTATCAAAAACATATCATATACCTTTTACTTTTGGTGCTTTTAATTATTTCATGAAAAATAATTTGGTTGTTTATTTCACCCATAACAAGTATTCAAAGAATATGTCTATTATGTAGGTATAATTTCTAATGCTGCAGAAGCAAAATGAACCTTTAGTTCTTACCACATTCCCAAAGAACTTTCTTCTTTTCCCATCCTATATGCTGTCTTTTGTGTTTTACCTTGCAGACCTGTGAGACCCAAGACCACTGTGTTTTTAAGTTAGATTATTATTTTTTTAACCTAGTAATGCAGCAAGTTACATTACTGGATCACCTGATGTGAACCCAAATTTGCATCCCCGGAACGAGTTCAACTTGGTAATTATATAATGTCTTTTAGAACTACTTTATAGGTTCAGTTTACTAAGATTTTGCTTGAGATCTCTGCACCTGTGTTCAAGAGAAAGACTGGCCAGTGATTTTCCTTTTTCGTGTCATCCTTGTTTGGGATAAACTGAGTTGGAGAATGCTGCTGTCCTTCTTCCTTGCTGCTTCTCGTTTCTCTGAAAGAGCTTATGTAATCTGAATTTTTCCCTTCCTTAAATGTTTGGTAGAATTTACTTGTAAAGTTGTTCAGGCCTGGCATTGTCCTAGCGTAAAATTTAAAATATTGATTCAGCTTCTATGAGTATTATAAACAAATTTATGTTTCCTACCATTTCTTCTTGAGTCACGCTTTCATCATCGATATCTTTTTTATATCTGCCCATTTAAAAAATGTTTTAAAATACACTGGCATTCAGTTGGTTATAAAATTCTCTGGTTTTCTTTTCAATCTGTTATGTTTCCCTTTTTTGTATTGATTTTTGTTTCAATAAAACAAAAATCTCTTTTATCTTAAAAAATCATTAGAGATTGTAATTTTGTTTAAAAAACACTCAAGATTTATTGATCTATCTTTGTAATTTAATAATTTCTTCTCTTGTCTTTATTATTGCCTTCTGATTTTTTGTTAATTCTATTTTATTTTCTGACTTCTTAAGTATAGTGCTTAGATTATTACTTTTCCAACTTTCTTATTTTTTAACCATCATTTTAAAGCTAACTACTCAAATCGCAACTTTAGCATTTTTGATTTGTGTTGTTTTGCTATGTTTTTATTCTTATTTAACTTTAAATGTATTCCAATCTTTATTATGAATTCCTTTAAGACATGATTTTTGGTTTTTAACATTTTTTTTTGGTTTTGTTTTTTGCTTTGTTTCTGAGACAGGGTCTTGCTCTGTCGCCCAGGCTGGAGTGGAGTAGCACAAATACAGCTCACTACAGCCTCAGTCTTCCAGCTTTAAGTGATTCTTCACCCTAGGCTTTCAGAGTTGCTGGGCCATAGATATGTGCCACCCTGCCTGGCTAATGATTTTAAGTTCTGTGTAGAGACAGAGTCTCCCTAAATTGCCTAGGCTGGCCTTGAAATCCTAGCCTCAAATGATCCTCCCACCTTGGCCTCCCAAAATACTGGGATTACAGGTGTGAGCCACCATGCCCAGCCAAGCTATAAGCATTTTAGAAGTGTTTTTGTTTCACAAGTTATTGGTTTTCCCAGTTATCTTTTGACTATTGATTTCTATCTTACTTGCACTGTGGTCACAAAGATGTATTCTATATAATAATTCTGTGAAATTCATGAAATTTGCTTTACGACCAAGTGAGTGATCAGTATTTTAAATCATTCCATGTGTTCTTTTTTAAATTAATTTTAAGTTCAGGGGTACATGTGCAGATTTGTCACACATGTAAACATGTGCCATGGTGGTTTGCTGTACCTATTAACTCATCACCTAGGCATTAAGCCCAGCATTCATATTAGCTATTTTTCCTAATAGTCTCCCTCCCCGTACCCCACTCCCCCAACAGGCCCCAGTGTGTGTTATTCCCCTCTCTGGTTCCATGTGTTTTCATTGTTCAGCTCCTACTTATAAGTGAGAACATGTAGTCTTTGGTTTTCTGTTTCTGTGTTGGTTTGTTGAGGGTAATGGCTTCCAGCTCCATCCATGTTCCTGCAAAGGACATGCTCTCATTTCTTTTTATGGCTGCATAGTATTCCATGGTGTGTATGTACCACATGTATTCTTAAAAGGAATGTGACTTCTACTTGTTACATGGAATGTCCTTTTTAGGTCAATTAGATTAAGATTGTCAAATGTGTCATCAAATCCTCTATATCTGTACAGAATCTTTTTGTCTATCTGATTTGCCAATAACTGAGAGGCATCTTCAAATCACTCACTAATTTGGAATAGTTTTTGTCAATTTCTCCTTGAGTTTCTATCATTTCTCAGGCTATGTATTAGGTATACATGAGTGTAGAATTTATATCTTCTGATGAAGTGAACATGACCATGTAAATAACACTTTAAATTCTGTAATGCATTCTTGGTTTTAAAGTCAATTTTCACACATTAATACAGCTATATAATTTTTTTTGCTTAATATTTGCCCATGGTTGCCCCTTTGTTTCTAGATCTGAAAAGTTATTTAATCTGCCTATGTTTTTCTTTCCCCCCTGCAGAAAGTTAAAAAAAAAACCTTTGTTTTTTAACTTCAATATCCTTATGTTTTAGATATTTGTAAGCAGTATATAGGTCATCTGTAATCCCAGCACTTTGGGAGGCCGAGGCGGGTGGATCATGAGGTCAAGAGATCGAGACCATCCTGGTCAACATGGTGAAACCCCATCTCTACTAAAAAAAAAAAAAAAAAGTAGCTAGGCATGGTGGTGCGTGCCTGTAATCCCAGCTACTCGGGAGGCTGAGGCAGAAGAATTGCCTGAACCCAGGAGGTGGAGGTTGCGGTGAGCCGAGATCGCGCCATTGCACTCCAGCCTGGGTAACAACAGTGACACTCCGTCTCAAAAAAAAATAATCTAGTCTGAAAAACTTTATCTTTTATCTAGAGTGCTTAAATCAG